TAAGGCCACGCAAGACTTGAGCTGATAATTGGTGAGCCTCAAAGATCTCTCCGTCCAAATTCCACACACTCTCTTCCCCAAATGATGTAAATGTGAAAGCTCTCGTCTGCATTCCCACATACATTTGATCAGGCCCCAACCAAGTTAAGAAGATTTCAAAAGGAAAATGTTTTACAAACCTTGTGATATTCCACAAACTCGAAGTTCAAAGGTTCACCACCTCTTTTTGCAAGCTCGGTAAGGTGCCTGTAATCCATTACAATCTCTGATATAAGCCTTACTCATAAAATGAATGACAATAGCAAAAGTCCAGACGTTACCATAAGTACTTGGGACGAGAACAATCCTTAATGAGTATGAGGTGAAGGAAACCATCTGAAAGATGTGCATCCACGACAAGACCATCAGGTGCTCTTTCATTTCGGTTTGACATCACTGCAGCACCTATACTCAAAAACCGCCCTTTCGATCTACACCATCTTGTTTTTTCTGGACAGGAGTTGGGTGTTGTGCTTACAATATTCCCATCAACCTTACTGTTACATATGCTGCAGTTCGCACGACATAGTATTTTCTCTGATCTTGAGGTATTTCGAAATGGCCATGTCTTACTCCGCGAGTGTAGGGAAGCTTTAGAGTTCTCTGATTCAGCTTCTTCATACGTTACCTCTGCCTCATATGATCTTGCATTGACATATAAATCAACAACTCAATCAACAGTGCTTTGCTTGGAAGAAAAACAAGGTAGATCATTTGGAGGAAATTCAACTAATGTTTTCTTTTGGAAGTTCAAATTGGTAAATATGTTAGGAAAATACCTGTGCTTCAAGAATATCTTAGTTCCAACGTAATCATAGCGTTTGGGACCCATCCACCGATATTTTTCGCTTTCTGAAATGACATCACCATAAAACCCGTATCTGAACTAACCAATTGTACAAAACTCTGTTAGAGATAGGAGGAATCAAGTTTTCTATCACAGGCACTAATGGTTGATGATATTGAGGTGATCTATAAGACAAACGAGGATGCCACTAATAATAAGGAACTAAGGCTTCGGGCTTGTAAGTGAAGGATGAGAATCAGAGGTTCATGACTTAACAGAATCTGTCTTTCCTTGTTACGGAACATCTCACAAAAAAGGTTTAGTCCATTACCCAGCGAATGAGGCTGCATAACGAATATAAGGTTCAATCGTCGAGGTTGATGTTGTTTTCCACCGCACAACCTGCATTGCATCAAGGAAGAGCTTTCTTCCTAGAATGATATGCAGCGAAGATGTTACAGGATCACGAGCTCCTGTGGTGCTGTAATGCAAGAGCATAAATAGTAGTTTAAAACTTAAAGCTTCTCAGAAGCTATTTTTACATTCCTGAAGCTATCACCAAATCTTTCAAAATTTGTATGGAGTAGAAAAAGAGAAACCAGACAGTAGAGAGTGAAAATGCATATGCAGTAGTTATTTATTTGGTAATCAGTTTATATGCTGATACAAGTGAAACATCTTTTCATTCATGGTGCAGGATAACCTTTGCTAGTGGAAGGATGATTTTGAATAAATGATGATAAAAAAGCCTACCACATAACTATTGCATCAGTTGAACCTGCCGGGATGAGGCCAAATCGAGGCCTTCCACCAGTGAAGGGATGATCAAGATATTCAATTCCTAAGAGATTTTCAACAAAAAGGAACAAGACAACCAGAAAAGAAAGTGATTTAATAAGAAAGGGAGAAAAAACAAACATTCGGAAGCAAGCAATGTAACTGGATATGTTGCTGAGAACTAAACCAACTGACCTTCACATGAGCCATTGACTGTCCCTGTAGATTAACAGTAACGCCCAGAGATTACAACTAGTTACAGTCCCAGCGGTTGAACAAAGACTAGATAGAAGTGATCAAATACATACTGAAATTCATAACCTCTTGAACTGAGTCAGGAAGTAGAGGATAGTGTTCCTTTTGGTCAGTCTCATGAACTGCATCTCCTGATTCTGCAACTGAGGAGCTAGCTCTACTTTGAGCAGAATTGAAGGAATCTGAAGGATTTGGTGGAAGAGGGACTTTAAGTCTCGACAGAAGATATCCATTAAGGATTTCGTTGAAGAAACCATCCCCACCCTGAACATCAATTGATTTTTGAAGATATTAAAATACTGAAGATCATATCATGAAAGCAGATATATGATCCACAGGAAAGCGGCATGAGAAAGAAAAATGCGACAACTAATATCAGGAGTGAAGAAGTTTCATCGACTTGCACTAATCCATAACTTGACTCATAAAATTGTTGCATTACAAAAATATTTCACAGATGCGCTGAGCGAATCAATCACTACAATCATTGTCAAAAAAAGTACTTTGGGTCAATGAAAGATAGAAAAAATAGGCTACAACTTACAACAGCTATGATGCCATCATATGAATGGAGCTCTTTGTTTTGGATAGATGCCATTACATCAAATGCATGTCCTGCTCGTTCTGTTACAATCACCTGATTTAAAGGGTAAATCAAGAATATCGAACTAAGGACCATAGCATGAAAAATGAAAACATTCACGTCTCATGATGCTACACTATCACTAGAAATTGTGCATACAATGAATGTCAAAATTGTGGAAGTCATGTTGCAATATCTGCTAAAGCAATATATATAATAACACTTTCTGAGCACTCATTTGCTGCAAATATAAAGTATGAATAAAGACAATCAATTAGTAACTATTGACCCTGATAAAACCATAAGGAAGCAATAATTACATGATAAATATCAAATTTTCCTAGATCCTCAACTATAACACAAAATCAAATCAGCTACTCCAAGAAGCAAAATCTGTGTGCCATTTGTCGTCAAAGAATAACCTATAACGAACCCTCAAAAAAACAGAATTACTAAATGATCTTTCTGCTAGTGATGCAATTAAAAACATACCTTGGTATTAACTTTAGCGCGAATAAAAATCTTGGAAACAGTTTCCCAGACCTTGGAGCCATTTCCTTTGCCACTTTTTGGATGGACGAATACCTAAAAAAGTGGGAATCAATTTGTCAAAGCATTCATACAAATTAGGAGGAAGAAAGTGGTAGAGCCTGAAGGGATAAGATTATACCAAAAGATTTCTTGGTCTTTCTACTTCCTTAATCAAAGAGTAATTCAATTGATCCATCCAACTCTGGCACGTCTGCAAATCCATATGGCCAAAAGTGAAAGCGGCAAGTTTCCAAAGACAAGGCTCCTTTGGTGAACTTTGAAAACCATGCACAGTGAACCGATACATCTACATCAAAGTAGAGAATCATTACACTGTAAATCTCCATAGGATGAAAGAAGAAGTGAGACAAAAGATTCGAAAACGAAACCTCTTGAGTATATAACAAGCGTTCCCGGAAACATTCTTTGGCATGTCTAAGGCCTGACTTTGGACTATGCACCAAACCATAGTTAACAAACTCCACAGCATAAATATCAGAGAATTTGATCTCAGTTTCGAAATTCTCGCAGTTTATAGTTCCTAAACAAGTTGTTCCCTCCTGTCAATATATAACAGGAAACTTGCTCAAATTCAGTAACATAGCAATAAAGACAGAGAAGCTCCATGATTTTGTTTCTCCCAGATCCAACATCAAAATCAACACTAATTCATGATGAATGTGGAAAACCAGAAGGATAAAAGTCAACGAACTCAATTCGTCGGATTAATTTGAGGAAGCATGAACACATAATCGAGAAAATCTTACACAATCTGAAGAATCCGAACATTTCCAGGACAAACCATCATGATTCCGAGAAAGAAAAACTTCGCCAACATGATCCAAGAAAAAACAACCGCTCAATCCACCGTCGCGATCGCCGGAACTAGAAAAACTAGAATCCTCGTCGTCACGACCTTCCTCCATTTCGAAATCGATATAGCTTGAGCTTAGAAGATTCAACTCAAATTCGATTTTTGGAAGTTAAAAGAGAAAATGAATGATTTTGGAAAATAGTAACGGAAACCGAACGGCGGAGCCGAGACGGAGAAGATGGCTACAATTTGAGAGGATTTTGTTCATCTGCATTTGGGAATTATGGGCTAATTGCATCACTGGGCTAGGCCTAAGAATTGGCTTTACATATTTGTCATCTACATTATCTAATTTGCCAATAAAAAAAGATAATTATAGAAGATTTTTAAACGTTTGTTCAAAACTACAGAAACTGATTTGAGATGACTTTCAATACTTTTTTAGATGAAAAGGATGGTTTCTATTGATTCTCCTCTCAGAGGTTCTTTCCGCTCACTCGTTTGTTTCAGAGTTCGTTCGTATACAGATTACCGAAAGAGGCAAGTAATATGGTGGAATTTCGAGTTGTTCAATTTACTATGCTAGAAAACTTAAAGTGAAAATGCTTTTTGTTTATCATATGATACTGCCGAAGACATAAACGTCCCTATCCAATTCTAACATAAAATATTTTATTTTTTAAACCCTATACATTAATCCATATATACATGGAACTCGGTTGAAAATGCTGAACAGAGTGTTATTCGATCTAGTTGTTGTATAGACCAACAAACCTTTTAGGAGAGCTAGGAATCTTGCGAGCTCAGAAAAAGGCTCCCGATTGCCAATTGTATGTAACCATCCTCTACACTCCATGCCAACGTCCCTAGTTACCACTTACCAAAATTGTTAACGTGAGCGATCAGGTATAAATCAATATGCAAACACTCTTGAGACAGTTTACTACTTCTATGCCCAACTTATCACAAAGCTCTCTATCAAAAGTAGACACTGAAACACTTGAATAGATCAAGACCAATGTTATTAAAGTTAATCTGGATCACTAGCCAGAAATCACACCTGCCACATGGAAGCTTGAAAGATATTATTATGTCAGTATACAAGACTGAATCAAAGTGGTGTCGGCGTCAATATGCCGAATGTAATTCAACATACCATGTTGCCTTCAGGTTCCTGTGAGAACTGATGACCACAAGAGCAAGATGATCATATCTTGCATCACAAAGGATAATAGATATTTTTCGCACTACAATACTAAAAAGGCTTAACTCCCATATCGAAACAGTACAGAAGAAATTGCGAGCTGAAGACAGACTTAACACACTGATCACTGGTAAATATGAGTATTATGAAATGAAACAAGAACCCCAGACATATAAATAGTCCTACAAAAGAGCAGCAATTATTATCAGTAACATTAATAAAATTCTTATGGCCTTTCCGGAAAGGCAATTGTCTGAACTGGGAGCTTCCAGCCTGAGTCTCTGCATATTTCACAACAGCATAGCAAGGGTTAAGATTGTGAGTCCCAAACTTCCAACAAGAAAGATGTAAGAAATCAGGGTACAAGACCTCCAAGAAACATCACACCTGAAAAAATTAACAATATCAACAAAACAAAGATTCGTGTTAATGAGATGTATACAATAACAGGGACACACTTTTGGAATCTATGTTAGTGGTAGTTTAGATGTTGTCAGATAGAAAAACTGAGAGGTGAAAAGACACATTAGGAGTTACTGAACAAAACATAGAGCAAAAAGGGTAGACTGACAAAATTCGAACATCCAACTCCCGGATTCTATGTTTCAGAATTGATTACCAGGACAGATGCTCCGTTAGCTGTAGCATTGCTCACAAACACATCAGTGACCAAATTATGAGCTATATCAGTTAGTTATCATGTGATAAAACTAGAACAGAAAAATTACATAAACAAGAAGGCTTTCAAAAAAAAAAAAATGGACAAAAAGGCAGTATCCTGCAACTGGAAGTCTAAAATATGATGTTGAGAAAGAAATTTTTTGTTTGAAAACGTTGGAAAATTGAGGAACAAAAGTTTTCTCCTATGATGAAAGCCAGTTGATTCGATTTCAAATTTTAATTTCAAAACCTGTAGGGAGAACAAACAATAACATCAAATGAGGACATCTTACCTCTCCACTAAGGAGTTTCTCCTCAGAACACACATGCTACTTCATCTCAGCCATGAACTTCTCATACTCAGAATCTCCAACAGCGGATGGATTCTCTGCAGGTGGCTGTACAGGAGGTTTGGGAGCCCAGGGTACGTTCCCCATGCTCTGTGAATACCCAACAGTGGGCGGCATAGGAGGAGTAGGTGCCCAATGTGCATTACCAGGACCTTGCGAGTGATCAGGTGTTGAGACAGGAGGATTGTTGGCCCATGGCATGTTACCCATGTTTTGGGAATGATCAGTAGACGAGGCTGGTGCTGGAGGTGGTGGAGGGGGAACAGCATTGTAGTAAGACTGATAACTCATATATGGAGGCTGTCCAGGCATAGCCGTGACTGAGCTACCATAGACATTTGGTGGTACAGACGTAGCAGAACCACTGTCAGCTTGTACTCCTGGTGGGAAGCTTTGCTGGGGTTCACTAGAAGCTGGGTTTTGAGTAGTGCCAGGTGGAGGTGCTTGTGTCACATGAGGTGGTGGTGGTGGGTATTGCATTCCATAAGGTGACATATGTTGACCATGGACAGGATGGTAAGAACCAGGAGGAGGAGGGGGAGGAGCATATGGAGAATAGGAAGGAACGGGAGGACCCCAAGGAACTGGAGCTGTTGAATAACCACCAGTGGCATACTGTTGAGAAGGATAGGCACCTGGCGGCTGGTTTGAGGGAGGATAACCTTGAGTTGGTGGTTGAGGAGCTGGAGGCCCTGGAGGTGCAGTAGGCGGTGGCACTTTGCCTGCAATCCTGACAGCGAGTGTTCGGCCTTCGAACCGATAGCCATTCATTGCCTGAACAGCAGTATTGGCCATCTGTACATCAGCGTACTTCACAAAACCATAGCCTTTGCTCAGCCCAGTCACACGGTCCTTGATTACCTTTGCCATCACAATTTCACCAAAGGATGAAAACAGATTAATCAAACCATCGTCCTCAAGCATCGGAGGTAAGAACCCAATGTACAGATTTGTTTCATCATATTCTTTGGAGGGGGGTTTGGTCGGAGTTGACCCTAAGCCAGGATGCGCACTTGCACCATTCCCTGCATTATTAGCCCATGGAGGATTACTTCCCGAACTTCCCGGACCAAGAGCCAGCGTAGCACTCTGTTTGAGAGAAGATTCAGGTACAGTTCCTCCTAACTCTGCCAAGAAGTTCTGATATTCATCATCCATTTTCTTCCCAGTAGTACCCTTCACCGGGCAATCAATAGTAGGGTGTCCACCATCACCACAAATCTTGCAAAGAACATCACTCTTAAAGGTATTGGTACGAGACGGACATGCATACTGTCTATGTCCTGGCTCACCACACAGTCTACAGAATTCTTCATCCCTTATTGTCCCATTCAAGGTAGCAAGTTCCCTGAGCTGTTGCCTCTTGTGCTCGTTCAACACTTCATCAACAGGTTGCAGAAGCTTCTCAACCATACCAGCAGCAGCTTCAAGAGCATCCTGAGTCTCAGCCTCAACTAAAACATGCAAGTCTTCATTCTCTGAAGGGTCATATTTCAAATCCTTTTTCTGCTGATGCCTACCTTCTTTAACCGATCCTTTACCCCGAATTACAATTTTAGCACCTGTCTCCCTCTCCATTCTCTTCTGAGTATTACCCCTAGGGCCAATAATCAGACCAATAAAATTGTAACCAGGAAACTCCTTCATTGGAATGAAAAGCTTCTTATGGAGCTTAGGAGGCCTATAATCTGCTGGAGGTTTAAAAGCCGGATTCTTTTTGATAATCTGAGCAATAATTTCTTGTCTTTCTCTATTCAACCTCTCCCTTGCTCTATACTCTCTAGTGTTAATCCTAATCCCCATGTTATCATACACAGGCTCTGGTGAAGGAGACCTCTGTCCTTCCGGTCTATCATCCAAAGGCATACCAGACTGCAACATCCTACTAATCTCAAGTAACCTACTATTCAAAGCTTGAATCTCAGGATCAAACTCAATACCTCCAGTGAAATCCTTCATAAAATCAGGTAACTGAATGTGCGGCTTGGGCTCATCATCTGCCCATCTCGACTTACGCTTCCTAGTTCCAGTACCGGAATCAGTACTCCCTTCAGCGCTAGGGTTATTACCCGACTCAGAAGGCGGAGGATCCCACCGGCTCCGACGCTTCCTCCGGCTTGTAGTCTCTTCCTCTCCACCAGACTGATCCTTATCGTTACCACTCAGCGTCTTGCTAACACCGTTCTCCGATAGCAAAGGACGCAAGAACTCAGGCTTTGCTGATGAACCATTAGTACCGTTTAAAGTCACAGATTCCGAATTCTGAGGATTCATATGATCCGATGCGAGTGGAGCAGTGTCTCCGTTGGAGGAAGGAGGAGGTTGAGCTAGGGTTTGTGAATTGGGATTGGGATTGATCAATTCGACGGACTCCATAGCGAAATCAAGAATTAGGGTTTCAGATCTAGGAGAAGCAAAGTCGCCTCGGATATGAGACGTGATTGACGACAAAATCAGAAAAGGACAATTGAGCAGAGGCTAGCGGCGAAATTAGGCCCATTATAAGCCCAAATACTTCTTATGTGTCGGGCTGCTCCGCGTTTTTGTGGGATTTATTTGGGTTGCCGGATTTTTCAGCCCCCAACTATTTGCAAACTCAAGGAATCTCCCTATACTTTCTCGCTCTTAAAAAATCACCAACAACTAACAATTTCCTTAATAAAACATCCTCAACTTTCAGATTCATCTTGATTAATACGCCTCCAATTGAACCGGCCATTAAACCGGGTTTAACCACAAATCCGCGTTTACTATACCGCGATTAGGATTACCCGCATAAGTAGGGTTGCCGGATTTTTCAGCCCCGAACTATTTGCAAACTCAAGGAATCCCCCTATACTTTTCGCTCTTAAAAAATCACCAACAACTAACAATTTCCTTAATAAAACATCCTCAACTTTCAGATTCATCTTGATTAATACGCCTCCAATTGAACCGGCCATTAAACCGGGTTTAACCACAAATCCGCGTTTACTATACCGCGATTAGGATTACCCGCATAAGTACCCATGACCCGAGAGTTAAAACGACGTCGTTTTGACTCGTCTCTTTTTCTCAAAACAAAGCCAAAACGACGGGTTACCGGATTTTTCAGCCCCCAACTATTCTTGTGTTTAGAATATGTAAGATCAGAACACCTAGTATCTTTTTGTATGTTATGGATGTTGATCTTTTGGATGTTGATCTTTTGGATGTTATTCTCGGATCATTATGTCTCTATTTAGATGTTAACAACAATGGTTCCTCAAGTTTAATAGGGGGATTCTTGCATCATTATCATAGCATTACAAAAGGAACACAAAGCACAAATCTAAAGCTAAAGCACAAAGTCATTTTGTCATTACAAAAGCTAAAGCACAAAGTCATTACAAAAGCTAAAACACAAAGCTAAAGAGACGAGTTGGGGGCTGAAAAATCCGGCAACCCGTCGTTTTGGCTTTGTTTTGAGAAAAAGAGACGAGTCAAAACGACGTCGTTTTAACTCTCGGGTCATGGGTACTTATGCGGGTAATCCTAATCGCGGTATAGTAAACGCGGATTTGTGGTTAAATCCGGTTTAATGGCCGGTTCAATTGGAGGCGTATTAATCAAGATGAATCTGAAAGTTGAGGATGTTTTATTAAGGAAATTGTTAGTTGTTGGTGATTTTTTAAGAGCGAAAAGTATAGGGGGATTCCTTGAGTTTGCAAATAGTTGGGGGCTGAAAAATCCGGCAACCCTACTTATGCGGGTAATCCTAATCGCGGTATAGTAAACGCGGATTTGTGGTTAAACCCGGTTTAATGGCCGGTTCAATTGGAGGCGTATTAATCAAGATGAATCTGAAAGTTGAGGATGTTTTATTAAGGAAATTGTTAGTTGTTGGTGATTTTTTAAGAGCAAAAAAGTATAGGGGGATTCCTTGAGTTTGCAAATAGTTGGGGGCTGAAAAATCCGGCAACCCGATTTATTTTGGAAACAATTTTTTTTTTTTTGTTAAACTGGAAACAATATATTTTAGTGATGTTATTTTAGAAGAAAAACTCATTTTAAAGGTATTTATAATTTATGAGATCAAATTTTAAAAAGAGGTATTTAGGAGAATTGCCCACAAATTTACTTAATTTTGTCTTTCACTTTAGAAAAAAAATAATTAACGATAGTCTTCAATTCGTGCAAAGTCTTCGACCGTGTCCCCAACCTTCTCGAACTTCTCTCTGAACCTCAAATAATCCCCACATTTAAATGACCGAAATATTCTCACACCCTCACAACCTCCCACCACTTCATCAGGGGCAAACACGACTTTCCCATCGTCGAAACACCAAAAAAAAGCAAGTGAGAATCTATTACCGACGAAACCACGTCGTTTCAAGATAACTCTGTGTTGAGACGATCTCAACCGTCCATTAGTCCATGCATGCAATAGATCTCCGACGTTGACCACGAGAGCTTCGTCTTTAGGGTTAATATCCATCAGACCAATCCCATCTCTGCTTCTGACTTGAAGACCTCCGATGTCATCTTGATCAACGATCGTGATGCAACTCATGTCAGTGTGCATTCCAAGCCCTTCGATCAAATCTTGATCATCATCGTCGTTGTGATCATGATCACCTTCTTGTTCTGAAGGGATTGTGTAGTTGTTGATCCTGAAGTAGCCATGACAGTTTCCAAACTCAGATTCGTAATATTTGTGATGAAGATCGTCTCCAAAGCTAGAGAGGATTGCTTTCATTATCTTCTCGCATAGTTCCGTCATCTTTTCTCCATATTCTTTCATCAACGCACTTTTTTTATAAGAAAAATAAAAAGCAAGAAAAAATCATTTAGTCAATGTGAAACAATTGGTTTGGTGTTCATGCAAATTGTTTTTCCAAAACATCAACTCTTCATCATTAAAAATAATAACAATTAATGCATAAATTAGTAACCAGCAGATCATAGTTTTGTGAATTGATCAAAAATACAAAAGAAAAATAAACAATTGATTTGATTCACTAGGAATATAATGTTATGGAGGAGATACTTTGTAAGTGTTGAAAACAAGTCTACTTTAACATTATTTACATAGAACCAACTTTAATCCCAAAAAAAAAAAAAAATGGACCGGTCAACTATACATAGTTATTATTGTCTTAGATTTCAGTGGTTTTATCTAGGCCTGGGTATTTGGGTATTCGGGTCGGGTTCGGGTCGGGTCTTTCGGGTTCGGGTTTTTCGGGTTTAGAAATTTTGGACCCGTTGGGTTATATGTACAATTTTGGGTCGGGTTCGGTTCAGGTTCACTTCGGGTCCGGGTAATTCGGGTATTGGTTAAAGAACCCATAAATAACCAAAACTATTTCGGGTTTGAGTACTACTTACCCAAACTTTGTCCAAATATACCCAAACATACATAAAAGTACCCATAAAACCCGAAAGATCTGAAATTATAACAAGTTGTTCCTTAAGACAATAATATAAAACAAGAAGTAAACTTTGTTTTGAGTTTGTTCCATAACTTAAATCATTAAACAAGTCACATATTCAAGTTTATGTCCTCATATGTGTATATATGTTCGGGTAATAAAAAATACTCACGGGTATCGGGTTCGGTTCGGGTAATACCCGATACCCACAGTTATTTGAAAACAGAACCCGATCGGGTAATTAGCCGGAACCGAAGTAGAACGAGTTCGGATATTTCGGGTCGGGTTCGGTTCGGTTCTTCGGGTTCGGGTATTATGCCCAGTCCTTTTATCAGTCACCAAAACTAGAGGGACCGGTCCTGAAATGGTTAAAGACATGACAACATCCCTAACTTTCACATTATTTAATGTATCACGAAAACACAAAGAATATATGAGTGCATGCATATATGCTAAAGCGAATGCAAATATTCAATGCGCACTTGCGAAATAAAGAGTGACCAATATAGTTGGAATCCGATTTGTTTTTTGTTTGACAATCATATTGTCACAACCCGTTCTACTTGTTCTAATTGATGTTTTGGAAAAACAATTTATATGAACATTTATCTAGGAAACAAAACGAGAAAGCACAATCTGACTCCTTAATATCTGAATATTAAGCAAAATGTGGATTGCATATAAATTGGTTGAGAGGACAGCTTAATTGGTTTCTAAATAAAATTCAAAATATGAGGGGACTTTTAATTCACGCCATATTAATGACATCGTTTTGGGGGTTCCCAAAGAAAATGTCAACAACCATAATTTATGTATTTTTATATATTCAACTCTCTATATCAGATACTATATGTGATCTATGTATACCTGAACTCTTCATCGGTAGCTTGGTCTGAAAAAGCATAAACGGAAGACTTGGCCGAGGCATAGAAATCAGGACCGGAGACACGAAGGCTTTCAAAGAAAGGTGAAGCGATGAAACGGGGAGTGTAATTAGACGCTCCCATCTTCATTTTCTCCTCATCTTCGAGCTCAAAAACACCCCCGGATAATCGCCGGAGTTTCTTGTACATGTCGCCGGAGACACCATGGTTGGTCACGTAGAAGAAACCCCACTCTTTACACGCATCTTGTAGTGACGTCAACGATGACTCGCTTAGAGGCTTTGAAATGTCAAACACCGGAAGTTCCAGAGACATTAATGACACCCCAGATGATGATTATGAATGTTGCATTTTGTGTTTTGGATACAACTTAGTTCGTTTGGTGCTCCAAATAGGTTTAATTCGTGTGTGCATATATATAATATCAAAAGTTCATAATATTAGTATATTACTTCCACTATTCAATTTATATAATTTGGTTGAATTCTTGCATATAAATCTAGTATATCTTTCGTATAATAATCGGAAATTCTATATGCTATTGCTAAGTAATCTGTGTCGTTGCAATAATCAAAACCAACTATTTCTACATTTTAAGATGTTTGGCCCTTAAAGAAAGTAATGAATAATTTAAAAGAACTCGAGATTCTTGTTCGTCCATTTTAGTGGGATTATTTTTCGCTAAAATCAGGGGAAATGCTTAAACATTAATGAATATATACAAAAATTTATATACTAAGACATTTCGAAATTGTAGTATATCATTATATGCACAAAAACTCTAGGCCTAGTTGCTCATCGGACTTAAAATGATAAAATGAAAAACATATTATCGTTTTTATTTGATAAAATTAAAAGAAATTGAGTGGTGGGCTAGCACTTAAAACACCATCTTTTTTTTTTTTTTTTTGACATCAAACACCATCTAAATTAATCGGTTTTCAGAACACTATAATATTTAATCATAGTTTTTTTATGTATATATTATCAATGTTAAGTAAGCTGTAGTTATTATATGATTACAAAGTCTTTAAGCAATGAAAACTTTGTTTATTTGTCCCCTTGACACCAAGCATTTTTTTTTATTGTCACGAACTCAGCCGAAATAAAATGGTTAAGGCAAAGCCTACAGTTGTCTTTGAGTTGAAAATTGTTTTTTTTTTTTTCTTAAAATAATGAGAATAGGAACATAAATTGGAGTATTAA